CTCCTGTATCTTTATGGAATAATACTTGGCTTCCTCAGTACCACTCATATTCTTGAGAGCTCCATTCTTTCTGAGTAAGGATCTCATTGTAATATTTCTGTTTCTTCTTTGCACCCAGAAAGCCTTTTCTTGCACTTAAGAGATTACAAGCAAAGCTTTAAAAGGTTCCGCAGCCTGGCAGGTGAAGTGATAAAACGCTGAGCCAATGGCCAGGACAAATTCTTTGATGCTGGGAGATTAAACCTTCAAGTACTGAATGTGGGACTCCAGAGCTGTTTACAGATTTCAATTTTTTTTAGCTTCTGTCTATGATCTAGCCTGTTTTTGTGGTGGCACCTCCAAAAGGTGTGCTGTTGTGCATACAGCTGATCTCCAGACATTCATGCCTGCAACCAAGTTTTGAGAATCAATTTTTCAAAACGATCTACTTTCCACAAGAAGTCAGAAAGCCTTCAAAATTTAATCAAGTTTTCCACTATCATCAACTTGGTGTTTCAGAGACAAAAGCTGAGCAAAATATTAGTGGCTCCTAGCTATTTACTGCATTATATGAGACAAGCACTTGTTCTGCAGCACTTGCATTAAAAAAAAAAAAAAAAAAAAAAAAGCAGCAAACTACTGTATGGAATATACTGTATGGAATATCACAAAGCACAGAGAAGACTTCTGTTTTTATTAGAAAGCCTAAAAAAGACATCCTTTTCAAGTGTGTTAGAAATAGAAGCCTATTTTAGAAGAGTCATGAAGTTATCGGTGCAAATTAATAGTGCCAGATGGGGGGTTAAATTACTGCCTCACAGCTGAAGTCATGAGACAGAATGAAAGTGGTAGACTAGAAAAAGGGCATCACCAGAAGAGATGAGATCCCAGTGTGAGGTGGGATTTGTGAATGCCACATTCATGGTTGTAAGCAGTTGCTCAGATGAATGGGTTTACGAGACAGACAGAAAGGAAACTAAGTCCCAGTCATTCTGAAGATTGTGTCTTGTGGTTTACTGCTTTGCTCAAGACAAGCAACCCAGCAGCACAAGCTACAATTAAATGTTATGGAGCTTTGTCTCCTGGGCTGGCTCACAGTCACCAGGACAGAGGAACTGAATAAACGTGCAGCAGGGCTGGTACCTATTAAGGCTGCTGCTAGGTCAATGGGGATCTTCATCAGAAAAATTCCTATGAAAATTCATCAGAAAAATACCAGCTTTAAGGTCTTTGTTACAGAAAAATTTTAGTTCTTACATTAAGAAAACAACTCTTTATTAGTTGCATTTCTCATAACATTTCAGTTTCATTTCGCTTGGGTAGGAAGAACATTTTTTCGTATTGCATCCCCACTTTCAGCAGGTGAAGTGAAAGAACAAGGAGTGAAAGAATGCTTTTACTATGAATAGGGCAACATAACAGTGAAGAAGGATTACAGGAAGGTGTTCCACTACAGAGTCCTCAACACAGAAAGGACATTCCAAAAAACAAGAAAGAACATTTTTGCAGTCATTTAGATGAGCACTTGGAATAGCAGTGTTCTGATGCATAAAGACTTACAGGAATGTGCCTGGGCAGGTCCTATTGGCCAGAAATAGTCCTTTTCTGACAGACTCTGCCTGTAACAAGACATCCTGCTCAGATGAAAGAACCAGAACAGGGATGAGAAAAGGAAATTGTTTCCAAGGAAGGACACTTCCCATTTCAGCTCAGCACTTACTCCCAGCGGCTTTGCTGGGGTAAATCATACAGCAAGACTGAACCACATGGAAATCCTGACTTAAGAACACACTTCAAGTGAAAAAGGAAGGTCTTTCTGGCAGTAATTAAGCAATTTTGAAATCTCTGGACACAGTAACAAAGGGGCCTACTCAAAAAGCCAGCATCTTAAGTGCAAATGTATTAATAATGCATAGCTGCATCATGCAGAAGACATTCTGCAGAGCTGCTCCTCCTTTCCAAGACAACAGTAGCATGAACTGAAGCACACAGTGAAGGGTGGAGGTTCAGAAAGAATTGAACACAATGTGCCCTAAGGAGACAGGGGCTGTGCTTGTTGTCTTCTGCATGCCACTATATACAATCCCTGCCTAAATCTGTGGGCTTATAATAATTTAATTCATTGACTGAGAAGCCAGGCAGAAAGCTACATACACACAAGCATGTGATGAATTATACAAGGCAGAAAAGCAGCCTATTCTCATCTAGTTGAGCTCACTAGGAATTTTGCTATGAATCATTGTGTGCCTAAAGGAGAAGTTGGCCAAGTCCTCTCTCCAAAATGGCAGAGCAGAACTGACTCACCTCTACTGAGTCAGTTCTTTCAGTCCAAAGCAGGAGCAAAGCTGAGAAAAATATCCCATCAGTACCTCAGTAGTCACAAAGAAGAGATCCTTTTAAGGCACAACACAGTTGTAGAAGCAAGAGAACAATTTGCACAAATCAATTACACAGTGAAACCTTTCTGACTTCTGGGATTGTTCACCACAAATTGTGATTTTTCTTTACTTTCTCCTCAACTGACTTGCAGAATCATTTCTGAAAAAATCTCTTCTAGTTCTTCAGACTTCTCACTGCATGCACATGAACCCTTCCGACACCCCCCCCCCAACCTTGTTCTGTGTTTCTTCAATTTCATGCAAAGAGTACAGAGGGTTTTCTGCTCCCTTACAGAGTGTACTGAGGCTACAGATATGGCTAGGGTGAAAACTTGCATTTAGATACAGAATTTGCTCTCTGTGAATATTCTTATTGAAATATTTTTATTTTATTTTTTTTTGTAATGGAGCTCTGGCAAGCATTACTTCCAGTAATTTCATCCACAGGATTTTTGATAGGAATCCCAAAAGCAATATGTGAAACAACGTTATTTTAAGGCACCAGGAGGATGCTATTAAAAATGCAGGACTGCAGTTGTAGGTATGTTGGTCACATTTTCTCAGTTGAGCTGTGATGCTCATCTATGCAGAAATAGCAACCGTCACCAGAAGCAGTCACAAGAGATGCAGCCCCCAGAGAACCACACTGAGCAAAGAATATCCAGGACAGTGATACAGCTTGTCTGGAGTGCAACTTCCCTCATAGAATCTTTAACATCACTAAAAGACCTCCTAAAGAAAGATGACAGGCAATTCAGGTCTGCCATGAGTAAAAAGGCAACAAATGGCAATTGCAGGAAGGTTAATGTAGTATGATACAGTTATATGACACATTTGAAGTTCCTGGTGATGCTGATACAAGACCATTTAATCTGAATTTTAGAAACTTCATACTTTCTCTGCTGCTGTATGTCATAATATGGGGAAGAACTATGAAACTGGCTTTGAACCAGTGAAATTTTAAAAGTTTTTGTTTCCTGGTTGACAATCTCATTTTCACAAACTCCTGCCCCATAGTCACAGGTGGGATGTAGCACACAGAAGCACGAGATTAAAGTCTACCTCTCAAGCCAGGGGCGAACTGCATTGACCTGAGATAGAGACTTGGGATCCACTATTTAACATTTCTTAAAAGAATTGCCAGGACCTATCTCCCTTCAAAGGAAGAGAAAATGTAGGCATGTGGGATTCTGATGATCAGTAGCTATCTGGCATTCTTGGAGCAGATTAAACACACTGCAGGACTGCCAAATACAGATGGACCAAAGGGAAATGTCCAGATGTAACTGCAGATGTCATAGGAAATTAAGCCATTCACTTGTGTATGTGATTCAAGAAGTTCTATTTCTAGGTCAGATGACAGTTTAGTTGGCCATTACTGCAAACATCTCTGACTGCTCTTGAAGTTTTCTGCCTAGAACTCACAAAAAAGCTAAAGACAAGCACTATTTTTCTGGAAAGCACACTGTAAAACTTTGTGAAGAATTAACTTTGTAAAGGTTAACAACAAGATAATGGTGTAAGCCATTAAAGGATGAGGTTCTCTAATACTCAGAAAAAGATGAATTGAAGAAAAGAGTTGCAACATTTCTTGTCTCTGTAAAAAGGAATACTGGAAGTTTTGCATATGTAAAAAAAAGTAAGCATTTCTTCTGCTAGATACAGTTATCATTGTTTGTGATTAATTAGATTTTTGAGTAAATTATCAGTCAGATTTACTCATCTGTACTGTTGCTGTGTCCTATTGCATAATACCTTGGTAGATGCGTTGTATGTAAGTCATTGACAGATGAGCAAATACAATGCAGAAAAATCATTTGCTTAATTAATCAGACCAGCAAAGAATATAGAAATATTCTTTAATCAGTGCTATTGAAATTAATTTGTTCCAGAATTCATTTACCTCACTCCACATGCGTCTCCATTACTGTTTAAACTAGCTGATATTTCTGAAATGGGGACATATTAATTATATATCAAAATTTGAACACACAGAATGTGAAATGTTGGGGAAAAACATTCAGGATTTTTAACCATTTTCTACCTATTCCAATACCAAAGAAAACAATACTTCCCTCCAGAGGTAATATTACCTTCTGCATTTATTTTAATAGCTAGTTAGCAACCATGGTTGCAGAAAGTTTTATAAAGTAGTGAGCTCCCTGGGCACTAAAAATGCACATTTGCTTTGCCAGTGGATAGAAAGGGAACCATTCCTGCTAAGGTTTCAAAAGGTTAAGAATAGTTTTTTAGAAAAAAATACTTGTGCTTTATTTCATTTCTGCAAAAATACAGAAGAAACTAAGAATATGGTTATGTAAGAAATTAGGTAGGAAATTAAGTTTATGTGAGAAACTAAGAATTTTAATCTTCATGGTAAGCTTTTTGATCAGCATTTGATGAGTTTATAAAATCATTACACTGCATACTTCTACATAAACTGATGGGTTTTTTTTCCATATTTTTGCTTACTTGTGTCTATCTATGTGTCTGGCATGAATCTAGTTTAACTCCTGCCAAAAAGTCTATACTGATGGATGACATTTGTACTGCTGTTTAGTCCAAACCCCCTGAAGTATTTAGACTGATTATAGACTGCAAAGCCAAGAAATACTGATAAACAATTAGATCTGGAAAGAGAAGATGACAAAGTTTTGTTGCTTGCACACTGAAGATGTTTAAGAAGTTTTTCTAGTCTCATAATTCTGGTGATGGAAACGTAGTCGAAGTAGGAAAGGCTTACATCTCATTTTTGGGTGACACCAAGCAGATGAAAACTGATTGGAATTCCTATGGCTAAGCCATGTCCAGAGATGATGTATTAGATGTTCGAGATAAGACAGAAGCTGTGCTTGGTAGCCTCTAATACACAAATAAGTATACATCTCCTGTCTCTTCTAGAAATAGAATTAAGCATATGGTTAAATGAATGCTGTGTCACATTTCAAAAGGGAACATAACTTCTTAAAAACAACAACAGCAACAACAAACAGCCAGAGAAATCTTACTTTAATTCTGATGGTCCTACTGAATTATTTGTTTTATTTGTATCATTATAAATATCCGTAACTGATCTCTTAAGGTGCATCCTGGGAACCTGTTCAGATCATAGGCTCACAGAGAAAAGAAGCACCCACCACAGAGGCTGCGAAAGGAGGCACTAAGGGTTTGAAGCAATGTGTTACTCAGGGAGTACTTCCCAGGTGTTTGCAGAGAGATGATTTTGGGAATGTCTGAAAGACTCACATTTCATGATGTTCTGTCCAGTTTTTGAACCGACTGTAGTTAGAGATTCCTTCCTTATTTCAGAAGTGGACGTCTACTGAGGGTCAAAGGGCAAGTTTCTTTTTTCTTTCTTCAGTCTCTGCAAGAAATAGTTCGTGTCATGAATTTCCACAGATTTGCCCATAGACCTTTAACTGTTTAACACTGTTCCTCAGTGGTTGTGGTCTTTATGTCTGGAATAGTTAAGGCAATAAATCCTAGTCATCAGATCTATACTCCAAGGTAGCGGGGAGAGGAGAGAACATACTTAATGACTCTTTGCTTTTCCTTAAAGCTGCTTTGGGATTTGGCTCTGGATTTGATAAGTTCTTGAGCAGGGACCCCTGAGGGTCTATTAATAACTCCCTGTGCTGGCTTAGGGGGCAGACTGTCTTGACAGGTCATCTTCACATCTTACTATTAATGCAGTTTCTAACCACGGTCAACCGCTAATCAGCAGTGGAAAGAAGGAACCTTCTCAACAGTTCAAATGCAGCACCCACATTACCTAGTCAACTTTCATTGGCTCAATGACATAAATTTGCTCCTGACCTAGTGCTCCCAGCTCTGCAGTTCCATATGTTTATTAATCCTAGGAATAAGCCTTCATGTGAATTTTGTTCTTACATTTGGATACAATAAAGTGAAGGTACACAGTTTCTACTCAGTTTGCCATACCTGTGCTAAAAAACAGTGCACGAGGTATGCTGGTGGTATTTGTGAGCTTGTATTAGTGCTTAAGGCCTATTGAATTGTCCTGGAAATACAATAACTTCTTTAAGCTTTGGGGGAATATTTTAATTCTTGTTCTTGTCTTAAGTCAGAGGAGGTTTGAAGCAGGAGAGCTTGCCAAAGACTAGGATTCCAAGTGCATCATGAGAAATTTCCCAAATCTACCTAAAATAACCAGGAAAAAGTTCCCTAGTGGATGATCTTACTCCTGGAAATAATCAACTTCTAGCCAAGGGCTGATGGGTTGGTCTATTTTTTTCCATCTCAGATGATTTTATGCATTCCTCAGAAGAAGAGCTAGGATGGAGACAGGTGACTGGACTGGGAAGATTCATATTGTGATGCAGCACAGAAATGCCTCATTTCAGTAGCAGAGAGCCCTCTTTTACCCAAGGGGGAAACTACTTGATATTGTTGAACAAGAAAATCTCTGCTTTCAAAGGATGTTTATTAAATATGAATAAATATTGACAGTTTTCATTATGAATAAATATCTGTAGTTAGACAAGGTAGTCAATATGATCTCTGAAGATACTAGAGATAAAATATGCACTATTTTTCAACACAGTCCCCACCATTAGCTATGCATTTTCACCAGCGATGAACAAGAGCCTACATGCTGTGTTCATAAAAGTCCTCACCAGCAGAGGTGATCCTCTGTTGCTGTCACCACTGCTGAAACGCACCACCCATCATCTCACATCCACTGTTTGGTCTCCATAAACGTCCAACAAACATAGAAGAATGTCAGTGGGTGCCATTTTTTATGCATGGAGGAATTCAGTTCCACACTTTGCTTCATGCACGCTTCCATGTCAGATGCCATTGTGTCAGACTGCCTCTCCACTGCTATCCGTCACACAGCAACAAAACAATGGTGGGAAGGTTCAACTTCTACTGCCATACCACCAACATTTGCCTCTGATATCACGAACTAACAGAATAAAATAGGAGGCATTACTTTTGGAGCAGCCCCTGTATTTTTTCATTAAAATGGGAGTGTCCTGCTCCAGCCTCTTAAGCCAAGTCCTCAGAAGAGATCTGCTGATTTTAAAAGCTTCCCTCAATGATCCCAGAGATGGTTCAGTACACTCAGTCCAAGGCACTTCCCTGCTTTCCATATGAGAAGAAAAAGTGGACTACAGAGTGCTTCCTCAAAGCTGTCTTTGCTTTCTTAAATACAGAACTCATCTGAAATTAATTATCCACATTTGCCAGCATCAGCCACAGCTATGGCTGTTTCCATATGTCAGGACAAAGTTCTAAGTCGGGGCCTCTATCTTTGGGGTGCCTAAAACTCTGAGACTGAAGCTAAGCCTGCTTCACAGACTGCTGCCAGATGTCTGTGAGACATCAATGACAATCTGTGTTCATCTAGGGCCTGTCTGAAGTTTCTGACAGTGATTACCCTCAATGTCTAATGAAACCTAAGAATGTAATTAGTCTTTTTGTGATTCTGCTCTCCTACGTTATTTAACCTGGATTTTAGGCAGCTTCATGACAAGGAATGGAAGGTGTAGGGAAAAGAGAAGAATATAAACAATTTGTCAGTCTGTCATTGTGTCCCTCTGCATCTGGGGTTTGAACAGAGGCAGGGCAGAGCACTAACAGCTGCATGTTACCCAAGCAGATGCATATCGCAGAACGTGGACCCTCTCCCTTCCCACTGCCACTGTGTCCTGTGCCCTGGAAACAGGCACCAGGGGCTGTCAGTTCCTGCAGGGCTCCAGCACTGGATCCTGCAGCAGTCTGCACAGACTGCGGCAGCTGAGAGCAAATCCCCAAGGCAGAGGGCTTCACTGCATCAAATATTAAGATGGATACTGCGGTATGCCCTCCCTGCTTTACTTCTGCCTGTGTTTAACGCAAAGTAAAGCTCCTTCTCAGATTCCCCGCTGCAATCGTAGAATTTTAGAATCATAGAAGGCTTGGGTTGGAAAGGACCTCAAGGCTCAGCATCTTCCCATCATCTTCCCACCTACCTGCCACAGGCAGGGTTGCCAGCCTCTAGATCATGTACTAAATCAGATTGCACAGGGCCCCACCTAACCTGACCTTAAACACCTCCATGGACAGAGCATCCAAAGCCTCTCTGGGCAATCTGTTTCAGCACCTCAGCACTGTCTCAGTAAAAACTTCCCCCTGACATCTAAAGTTAATCTCCCCTCCTTTAGCTTAAAACCATCCCCCCTTGTCCTATCACCATCTACACTTGTAAAAAGTTGATTTTCATCATGTTCATAAACTCCCTTTAAATACTGGAAAACTGCAATGAGATCTCCCTGCTGTCTTTTCTTCAGGCTGAACAAGCCTAGTTCAAGCCTGTCTTCATAGGAGACGTTCTTCAGCCCTTTGATCACCTTCATGGCCCTCCTCTGGATTCTCTCCAAAAGCTCCACATCTTTCCTGTGTTAGGGGGCCCAGATTTGGACACAGATGGGGCCTCACAAGGGCAGAGTAAAGGGGGACAATCACTTCCTTTGCCCTGTTGCTACTCTTCTTCTGATGAAACCCAAGATACCATTGGCCTTCCTGGCTGCAAGTGCACACTGCTGGCCCACGTTAAGTTTTTCGTCAACCAGGACCACCAAGTCCTTCTCAGCATGGCTACTCTCAAGAAATTCTCCCAGTTTGTATACATACCTGGGGTAACCTCAAACCAAATGCAAAACATTGCACTTTACTTTGTTTAATCTCGTTAGGTTCACAAGGGCCCACTTTTTGAGTTTATCAAGATCTCTCTGGATGGCAGCCCTTCCTTCTGCTGTATAAACTGCACCATTCAGCTTGGTGTCATCAGCAAACTTGCTGAAGGTGCACTCAATCCCATCACGTATGACACTGATAAAGATGTTGAAGAGTACCAGTGCCAAGACAGACTGCTGGTGGACACTTACAGTTATCGGCCTCCACCTGGACATAGAGCCATTGACCATAACACTCTAGCTGTGATGTTCCAATCAATTGCCTATCCACCAAATAGTCCACCCTTCAAATCCATGTATCTCCAATTTAGAGATAAGGACATAGTGCAGGACCATGTCAAAGGCCTTGCAGAAGTCCATGTAGCTGACACCAGATGCCAATCTTCATAGCAGCACTTGCAGAGAGGATTTGTGCGTCTGGAGGCACTTGGAGGTCCAGGAGGGGGAATGGCATTCAGCTGCTGGCGTGACTGTCTGGAAGCAGAGGAGCCCAGCAGGCAGCTTGGAAACTAGCTACAATTACAAGTGCAAGTTTTGTCAAGCCAGACTGCAATGGCTTCCAGCAGAACTCCTGGGTCCTTCAGGGTGAACCTGGTCTGTGTTCATCTCTCAGCCTGGTACAGCAGTTCACAGCAAAGGAGAGTCAAGAAATCCAGCAAACACGCCATGATTAATCAATATGTGAGCCTGAATGAGCAGGTAGGAGCTGTAGAGAGTGTGAAGGTTGATGGAGGTTTTGCAGTACATCCCTCTGAGGAGGAGGGTGCTCCTTGTTTTTGGCAGCCATCCAGGTCCAAAGTTGTAATAAACTCCCCAAATAGATTATTTTTCTTTAAAAATAGAGCATACACCTCCCACAGCTCCTTAAATAAATCTCTTGCCCCTGTTCCCTTGTGCTCAAGGTCACCTGGAAGTGCAGCTCTTTCACTAGCTGTAGGCAGTTCATCACATGAGGAGGAGGACAGAGAGCCTGAGGGCTGTAACCACAGCCATGTTGGCCGTCCTTGCCAATTGCACAGCTTATCTGGGCTAAGCCTGGGGCATGTGAGACATGGCTTGGCCATCAGTCAGTAGGCTCCATGCTTACAGAGGCTGAAATACAAAGTTGTTTTAAGGCATTCATTGTTTTAAGTGACATAAATAGTTTTTTTCTTTTTTTTTCCCTCAACAATGGATTTTTTTTTCTCACTTGAACAAAGGACTTTCAGTTTACCAGATGGGTCCAGGCTCAGTGTCCTTGAGATGTGTTTGTCAGATGTATTTTCAAAGCTTAAGAGCTGTGGTCTTCAATATACCCGTGGGGTAAGTGTGCAGGCAGCAGCTGCACTACGCCATCTCTTACACTACATGGATTTTCTGCCATATATGCCATTGGTGTTACATAAAGGAAGGAATTATCTCCCTCTTTGTATTCACTTATTAGGTGTCTGCCCTATGAAAGAACGGGGCAAAGTTGCTTTCAAAAAACTGAATTCTGTACCTAACATGAAATTGTTCCCACGTTACTAGGTCCAGGAAGAGGACTCGCTGATTCTTCATCCAGGAACTTACATTAAATAAAACACATGAGAAAACTATGATTGTTTTAGATTTAAATTGGATTGTGTTCAAGTGAAGTTCATGCCCCATCCTGCTGCCTTAACTCGCAGGAGTGGTATCTATA